AGGGGAAGGAACAACAAAGTGAAAACAGTCGAGATGGGGGGGGGAACAAAAGGGTGTTTCAAAGATGCAAAAGACAGACACAAAGGTAGAAAAAGGTGATGTGAGTACTGTGAAGTGGTCGAATATGACACACAGAGGGGTGATGGTAGTTTGAAGTCAGAAGTCAACTGGCAGTTTATAGACTTTTTTGCCGTGTGAGTATACTTGTCCTCCAGGGTGCACCACGTGGAGGTAAGTCTATCGCACACCCACTTGGCTCTCCCCTCAAATTTCAACCCTACACGGATGGGCTTAATCATATCATTGAATTGTGCCAATGACTACAGGTGAATATACTGCATTGGAACGCTGAGCGTGTAACAGGCTGGCATAATTTGCTCAGCAAACATGAATTCCTATTTTTCAATGTTTCTCATCTTAAAAAAACATTATTTTTTACAATGTTAAGCAATCATTACCTCCTCAAGTCAACCTCATGTAATCATTTTTTTGAGATCTTGCCTGAAAATCACATTAACAACTCGTACATTAGAACGAATTTTTCTAAATCGTTTAATGTTGTTTTTTATTGAGTATCTCTTCTTCCAATTTTCTTCTAGAATCTAGTCATGCCATGCTAATCTACTTTCTAAACGAAGTGATCTTCCCATTTTCTCCCCTAGATTCACATTTTTATCGAACTTAATTACTGAAATTCTAAGTAGTATAGCCTAATTTGCCTCCATTGTTGGCCACTGATTTCACGTTTGGTCACAACGCCCTAACAATCATATAGGAGGCTTGGAGACAAAGGCCATCGAAAAAATGGCTATTATAATGTTTTATGGGCTTGACTTTGTGTCCAAACCCATTGTGGTTGTACTAGAGGCGGTGGAGGGGGGTGGGTGGGTTGGAAATTATGAGGGAATTGCGTAGTTATAGGTGTAGGAGCGCGTATAAGATTACGCCTTCTTTGATATCTTGGCGTATATATATTACCATATTGGAGCTGAAGTGATCATAAATAGTTAAGTAATTCTACTATTGGAAGGTTCAGATGAGGGGAATTGGATGTCCTTGCTCTGTCATGCTTCCAATCTACGCCAAATCTCTCCCCGTCTATTCAAAGCGAAACCCTGGCTTGTTTTATCGGTCGCAATCAGTTGGCCAAACTGAGAGCTCCGTTTAGTAAGCGTTGACGCGCTGTTGGACTGGATCTTGGTAATGATAGCAAAGATTGTAACATTCACCTCGTAAGACAAAGTTTACCCTTCTCAACCAAGAGGGCATTTAAGCCCTAGGCACAATCAGAGCGAAGAGGAGATGAGGCCAAATAGAAGTCCAGAATAGATCAGTGTATTAAAGAAGTTTCGCTTCACTTGATTTCTGTCCCTATTGATTATTTAACTTCTTACTTCATGAAGTCATTTTCATCTTAAAGTTCTGCCAAAGGGAATTGACCTGGCGGGAGGGAGGGGGGGGGGGGGGGGGGGGGGGGTGTTAAATGAGTGTCCATGATTTTCATAGCTTTTGATCAGTTGATTAACTCTTTAACGCCCGAATTATTTTTCTAAATGTACCCAACCTCACTCACGCGTGTTTCACAGCATACTGATTCCGCCGACTTGATGAGTTTTGGTGGCGTATCAGACAAAGGGTATAGACATGTTGAACGTGTTTAAAACGTCAATAGCGCCTTCTGTTATGATTCCAGTGCCAATAGAGCTCGTTTTAAAGGAGGAACATACGGTCCTTAGGACGTTAAAGGGTTATTTTTATATTATTCAATACGTTTTTTGCGACGGTTATACCTTTTTATTATCTCTCTTAAAGTGTAGGTAAATTTTCAACGTTTGAGAGAGAATAAGGTTGGAGGTGTGTGAAAACCGCCAAATTTATTAAACGGAAACTCAATTAGCAACTATCATACCTTCAGAGAGGGAACAGTTGCCTAGCAGACACCCTTTTAAACTGTTTACGGTATTTCACTAACTAATAAATCCAGTCTAAATGGTAATGATGGAATTGAATGATGAATGCCTAGGTGTTTAGAGTAATTAACTCCCTCAATAGTGATAAATCTGCGTCCAGCACCATATTTCACTCAAGTTGAATAAAACTTAAAAAAGAAGAACAAATAAAACTCCTTCATAAATCACGATTGAAAGTAGGTATCTCTATCTATTCGTACAAATATCATTCAGGATGCTTAAAGGAACCAAATTCATTGAATAAAAAAGAAGGAATTCAGCCAATCTTTGAGCCTTGGTAGAAAATTTAAATGATTATAGTATTGTATAATGACCCACGGGAATGCAAAAGCAAGTACAATATTTAATCATGCGAAAACATGCGTATATGTTAAAATAGTTAATCCGTGAGGCAAAGACAAGACAGTACACGGAATCAAGATTGAATTCACCTGTTTCTCAACCTTTTACTCAATGACTTAATCCTTGCAAAGCTCAATTTTCAGCCTTTCAGCACTGTTTTTAGAGCGAGACCATTTCCGTGGTGTTTGGACTGTTTGCCAAAACAGTAACCAAAACATGAGTACTTGCAACAAGGCAAACTCAACTAACTTATTTTTAACAAAAGAGCGTTGATTGAACTTAACTAAGCTGAGAAGTATTTGTTATGCCAAATAGCAAGCCTATCACTCACAATTTAGCACGCATTGCAATTCCTACACCTATCAGGTCAAATAATCAATATTTCAGTTTTACCTAAGTACTGTAATAAGTTGTTCAGAAAACAGCTGACTGCATTCACTGGTTCATTTATAGCATCTGTTTGGTTTAAATGTGAACCACTATTTCTACTTGCATGCACGCGACTAGCTAGTGAGGCTAGTTGGGTATGCATACAGCATCACCTCACCTCGCATTGCAAGCAATCAATAGTTTGTTAGTAGACTAAAATAATATATGTGATTTTCAAGCTATAATTACTTTAATACCTAGTCTCTAAACACGATTTCTTTTATGAGAGAGTGTCTAATACTCGGGCTTTGTGTAACGGGCGAGATGACCTTAATTAGAGGATGAGTCATATGTCGAACGAGTGGTGATAATCTAGCCCATGATAACGCATACGCAAACAAGCTGTTCCAATCAGTGATTTAGACTACAGATTAGCCTAAAAACAGTAATTATTACTAAATGAACATGCCTAAGTGTGCAGAATTTTTACCATATTAGATAGGTAAACCAACAATCATCCAGACAACGGAAACAGCTAACTCAATTGCTTGGAGGGCAAAAAAACAGAAACTTTTTTTCGCAATCGCATAACTCCGACAATGGGTGTGACAGAAATTGAGTTTAATCCTCCGTTTTTTTGTTTATGTAAACAAGCCAAAAAAGTGTCCGATGGCATTCAGTAGAGTTACCGCTGGTGCCAACGCACAAAAGGACGCAGGCAAACGACCTACCCTAGCGAGGCTAAATCGATCCCTACATGGTTTTCGATCATCACAAGGAAAGTACGCGGACTTGGGCCTCAATTTGCCTCGTGAAAATTGCATTACACACCAATTTCAAGTGCATTCAACCTACAGGCTTAAACGTGCAGTGACTGGTAAATTAATTCTTAGCGAAAGGCAATCAAATTACACAGTAGTGTGAAATGATTCACTTACCGCACTAATAAACCAATTTAGAAGCGATATCGACTTTCTTAAGCTAGGCGAATTGTGAAGTCCAATTTTTTCAGCTTTCACCCAATCAATGTGAAATAAAATGCGTCTTTTACGCGAAAAATTGTATTTTAAACTTAAAAATATAGCGCTTTCCTGTTTTAAGAGTAATTAAGAGGATCAAAGTTTAACTTAGAATAACTAAAATTTTTCCAGACCGCGCACTTATATCTTAATAACCAAATAATCTGTGCAACCGCATGTTTACCCACCTTCAATAAAATAAAACAAAAAGGAAATCCCTTATTTCCATTTTTGCATTATTATGTAAGCTTATTATTTAGTTTATTAAATAGTAATTATCTCCCCCCCCCTGAAAGAGCTGCTAAGGTGTCGAGACTACAAAAGTGACAGTTCACCACTTTGCAGTCATTTTTTAAAGTGAAAAAAAACGGTTGAATTGAGCCAGATCTTTTATTGATTTTCCAAACGAAAATGCAAAATTTAATAAGCAGACTTCCAAAGAGTATCCGCATGTGAAGTTATTGCAATTCTTGACCTTTTTTTATACACTACTTAAACAAAAGGAACAGTTACAGGGCAACATCTTATTGCCTTATTTACACCACATTACAAAACACGAACAAATTTGAGCAAAATTAAATTAGTTGAGGAAGTATCGATTTTCTGACTGCAAACAAATTAGGCAATGCAATTGGCGCTTAAATACTGCAAATAGCACGTGTAAAATTCACACACCTTATTTCAAGTGCTGAAGTTACCTTTTCTCTCGAACTAAGTCAATTGTCTTGAGATTTAAGAACTAGAGTAATGCTATCAATCAAATCTCCACTTCTGTGTTCAGTAATTAAACAGAAGAGGACTCGTGACCTTCTATGTTTCTAGGACTTTTTCGAAAGACTTATTTTTCCCTATTCAGCATAGCGGTTATGAGCAAAAGTTTGCCAACTGCAATAAATATCGATTCCTTATTTCTGCAATTAAAATAAATGCTATTTACTTCCAATTAAAGCTAAGTTAGTTGTGCTTTCTTTTCAATAAAATGATCATATCGAATTAAAATGACGATTGAAGAGAGTGGAAATATAAGAGTGAATAATACGAAATCGTGCTCAAAACAATAAAAGCGCTCTTCGTATCATAACCCTCGACCACAAACAAAATAAAAAGAGAGAAATATAGTCAGGCTAACACCAAACCTGTAATTTAAACCTATTACTTTCCAATACTAACTACAGTATACAGATATTTTGCAGAATTGTGGATTAAAAGAATGCTTTAAAGTCAAAAAAGTGTCAAATTGGTTGAGGTGAATGGGTGAATTAGAGAAAAAGAGTGTGAGATTATCAAAAAAATGCTTTTTTCAGCCTTCCACTGATTGCCGACCCGGTTGATCTACAGATTTCGACCTAGGGACTCGCTTGAAGAGTTGTGCCAAACGATTTGCAAATCCATTTCCTGATGATGTTGAATGGGATTCCTGCTCGGCTTGACGTTTCAAAGACTCCATGCATTCGTTGGCTTCCTCTTGACTTGCGAAATGCATGTAGAAAATATCTCTATGGGTCTTTTGGAACTAGATTAATAAAAAAAGAGAACAATAAATTTATAATTTTCGCAAGCCTAATCAAGATTAAGAACACTTGACTTGTTGTGAGGGGGGATATACTGGAGAAATTAATCTTCTACAACCTCTAGACTAACAGTAGAATTGGTCATCTACATCACAGGGCGCGTATAGATGAGCATCGACCTATTGACCACTAATAACCGGTGTTTAGAATGCCTCATTAATCGATTAAGATTAATAGCAAAAGAACCTGGTATAGACAGATTCAAAGGCGCAAATCCGCAGTTAGTTATATTAATTCGGGTTCTAGAAATAATGAAGCCTAGTAGTTCGTTTCCACTTGAAGGCATCATACGTTTGGTTTTACTGCCACCTACGAACTGCTGTTTCACCAAAGCCAGTGTCTTGATGAGTTCTCCCCTTATGTACGATTAGTAAACAAGGCCCATCGAAACATTAGTTAAATCGAATGGATTCTCTATTTCCACGGCTCATCTCTCAATTAGCAATAGAAGTGGTCAATATAGAGGCTAAGAAACGTACAATTTTGACGTAGTTCAGTTTGGTTGATGCCGAGAGTGTTTTGTGATCGAGGATACTTTGGAAGTACTCTAGCATAGCATTCACATGGACTGCATTAGCTTCCTTCGGTTCGACTTTTTCCTGAAAAGACCGAAAGAAAAAGAAAATGCGAAAATTAAGGTCAAGTTGTAGTTTTTTGCAGATTGTCATGAGTTGTAAATTAAATATGTCACAATGTTACGTCATAACTAATAAAAACTAATCCGCCCGTTGGAGAAAAAGATGTTTACCAAGGATGATTACTTAACTAGGGAACTAAAGATGGGAAAATAGATTTAGAAACACGGGTCAACACCGCCAAAATTGGGAAATGCGAATGTGAGAAAATTATTAAAGTAAACGCTCCCCTCCCCCTTAAGAAAAGGACATTATTCTAATCTACATGGGCTACACTTCTCATTATCCTCATATCTAATTTGTATACTTGGGGTGTGCGATAGACTTACCTCCACGTGGTGCACCCTGGGCAACGTATACTCATACGGCAAAAAAGTCTATTAACCGGCAGTTGACTTCTCACTTCAAACTACGATCGCCCCACTGTATGTCATGTTCGACCCCTTCCACAGTACTCATCTTACCTTTTTTCTACCTTTGTGCCTGTCTGCTCTTCCGTTCCCCACCCCTCGACTTTATTCTACTTCCGTGAAGCCCGATGTCAGCTATCAAAACGCCTGTCATTTGAAATAAATAAATAAATTTGTATACTTGGTACGTGTGCCTACCTGGAAAGTGAGACATTTGGTACTTTTTACTGTAAAAGGTGACAACGCAA